ACTCCAAGTTATAAAGAGCGTAACACAGCTGTAGCACATCTAAGGACACCTATGCTAAAAAAGCAAAATTCAGTAATTAGAAACAAGTAAGTCAGAAATACTTACGTTGAATTTTGGGTGAACTCTTTACAGGGATATATGAGGTGTCACTGAAATATATGGTGAACGTTTAAATTTAAATATTACAATAAAATATGCATTGCCATTAATTCCCCTCAGCTGACTCCCTCCCTCTTTGAACACATTTATCCTGTCATTCTTGCCACTTCCTGAAGCTGCTCTGGAAGTCCTCTTTGGTATGAGGTCTGTACAGAGTGTGACCAAAACTACAGTGAATGCGGCTACCAAGTGCCATCCAACAGAGAAGCAGCCTTGTAAAAAACAGTGCCATGTGTTCTCCTGTACCTTACTCACTGGATTTGGCATTGTACGACTTCTAGCTCTTTCCAAAACTCAAAATTGAGTTAGTTATTGTAGACTGATCAGCCCACAATCTTCCAAATGAGGAAAGGCTTAAATGAGTCAAGTGGTATGAGTTTTAGGGCTCCAAGGGAACAAAACCCTCTCTCTGGCGGGTAAGACAAAGATCTTCTCTGGGTGGCTCTATTTATCTTATTATCAAAATAAGGGAGCAGAACACTGAAGAAAGGGAATCTTGAGAAGGACCATCCCCTCAAGGGCTTCTCCAAGTAAGGCATTATGTTAATTTAGGAGAACTGTGTTATCTCCAAGAAGGAAGGGAGTGAGATGCCTGCAGCTATGGTCTTTATCTAGTTAATAGAGGCTGGAGCCAGGTGTCTTTAGCTGTGCCCTTGTCTTTGAGGCATCCTGGCTCCTCCAAACCCCCACCAGTGACTCACAAAGGTTCACTTATTATGAGCCTGCCACCCTTCTCCAGATAAGGGGCCTAGGCCTTGGACAGACTCACAAGTAAACATGAAAAGCCAATTGGTTCATATTAAATCCTGCTTAGTGCCTCTTCATAGTGGTCTCCATCAGTGGAGGATGCAGATAACTGAAGAGACTTAGAAGAAAATTTAAATGATTTTTGTGTGTGGAAAACTAGGCGTGGAGTCCAGAATCATACGTTGCTGTTTTTCATGAAAGTGAAAGGCATGGTTTATACTAAACCCATTTCTTTTTCTTTTCTTTTTTTTTTTTTTTAAACAGGGTCTTACTATGCAGTTCAGGCTGGCCTTGAGCTCACTTTGTAGCCCAGGCTGGTCTCCTGAACTCGCAACGATCCTCCTGCCTCAGCCTCCCGAGTGCTGGGATTACAGGCGTGCACCACCACGCCCAGCTACTAAAACCATTTCTGATTTTTAAATAATTGGCCATAAAGTAAACTGACATGGAAATGTGGAAATATGTCAATTTTAAAGTATTCTTTGACCCAGCAATTCTTTACATAAATTCTCAGAAGTATTTATACAGGAGCACAAAGATTTACATTTTAAAGATCTGATCACAGTCTTTTATGAATTAGTAACAAATTGGAAGCTGATTTCACTGGAGGTCTTTAAAAAAAGCATCCTCTGATGACTAGCAGAAAAATTAACTGTGAGGCAAAGGAACTGAACCTTGAGTTTTAAGTTGCAGTGTCTTTAAAAAAAAAAAAAAAAAGTTGCAGTGTCCTAGATGTATGAGATGTGTGCAGCTGAGACACAAACCTGCTTTGAGTTCCTTCTTCCAGTAGAACATCATTCTTTTTTTTTTTTTGGTTTTTCTCCGGTACCAGGAACTGAACTCACGACCTTGCACTTGCCAGGCAGGCACTTTGCCGCTGAGCTAAATCCCCAGCCCCCAAGAACATCATTCTTAAAATTTAGTCATCCATATTCTTAAAAATACACACTTTGAGTAGACCACATGCCCTTTTTAGTGTGTTGATCAGAAGTTGAAGTTTTGCCAACTTTGTACATAGTGAGCAGGACTCATTTTGTCCTGCTGAAGCCAGTGGAGAGGAGGATAGTGGTAGGAGAAAGGGCCTCCCCAGATGAGTTTTGTCAGCCATTTTTCTTCAGAGCTGTTTTCTAGTGTCAGGTGTTTCAAAGAAGCACACCATACATGTTGAAAAAAGGACACGTAAACGTGTGTGTGTACATGGCTTAGGAGACAAACCCAAGTTTGCCTCCTTGCTCTACCACCTTTCAATGTGTGACCTTGGGCAAAAGACTTTCTCATGTCTAAAAATGAGTATGTTGATAGTTTCTATCAGCTGGATCAGTTGTGTCTCTGAGGCTCATGCTCACACAGCACCGCACACCAAGGAAATGCAAACGGATCTTGCTACACATGCTGTAAACCCCACTCCCTCAGACTTACTTTGCTTGGAAACCTCTGTGTGCTTTTTTCCTGCCACTACTCTTAAAAAATAAGAAAGGAAGCATTCAGATATGTGGTGAATGTCTAACTGGAATTATCTGTGGACTGAGCTGGACACTTTGTTGAAGTCTGTTGATTTAAAATAAAGTCCACTGGTCCTTGTTCCCAGCAGTTCTGCTTCTAAAATATATGCCATAGAGATGTTTGAACAAGGACACAAAGATTTGTGTACAAAGATTCAGTTGAGGCATTATATGAGTTAACTGAAAATGGGGGACTACACATACACTGTAGGGATGAGATAAATTAGATGTAGTGCATCTACTCTGTCAGCAGTATGAGGGTAGGGACATGGGAATGACAAGGGAAGATAGGGTGTATTTAGGTAACAAAGTACTTTGGAATGTTACTTGTACTATATCTGCGTTTCCTTAAATTGTCAATACTTCCTACCCCCCCAAACATACAGTTCCCATGTCTGTATCCTCACTGGGGTTTTAGTCTTCCTGATCATTTGGCTAGAATGAACTAATTAGTAAAAATGTGGGCTTGTCACTTCATTTAGGGAACTAGTTGATTATGGAGTTTTAAATTACTTGGTACTGTAAGTTTTCCTGATTTATAATCCCCAGATGTTTTTGACATTTTCAGATTTCCATACATATTTTTATCTTGCCTAGGTATTATTTTCCATTTTACTGGTAAATAGGCAAAAGTTACTTTAGTCAAAGAACTAATACTTTTGTTGTTTCTGGAGTGTTTACTAATTTAATTTCTAGAAAAAATTTACTGGAAAGACACTAAAGACTTAAAAAAATTAAAATAAAAAAATAGGTACCAGTTAGCAGAGTTGTTCCTTTAGTAAGATGACAGTAGAGATTTTTCTTGAAAAACATTAAACACATTTTGAAGAGCAGCAGGGATCTGGCCTACAAATTTTCTTTTTCTTTTTTTGGGTACTGAGAGTTGAACTCAGGACCTTGGGCTTGCCAGGCAAGATACACACTGCTGAAGCTATATCCCTGGCCCCCAGAAATTTTCAAGTGGGATTTTTTTTTTTTAAACCCTGTAAATGTCATAGGTCTAGAGAGCACGACTCTTAGATTTGAAATCAGCACATTCGAACATCCCACCAAGAAGTGGGAATGAACTGGCCTGTGGTGTGACCTATGCTGTCTACACTGAGAGATAAATAGAATCCTTATATATCTAACTGTGGGCTCTGTTGGTGACTGTCAGGATCTCTCCATGGATTTGTGGTGCCCCAGGCCAATTCTCTGCCCTTAGTTGGGGCTGAATCACTAGTAAAGTTTGGGGTGGGGGCAGACAGGAGATTGAACTCGGGGCTGTAAATTTTGGTGGTAGAAGTCGGGTCATTTGCTAACAATGACAGCTCGTTCTATACCTAGTAAAAATGTCAGAACCAAGTGTTGCTGTTTTGACATAATCTCAAAAAATGTCTAAAATAATCAGAATTCTAAGTATTTCCTTGGTTTGAGAATTTGAAAGCAAAACTTGGCATACTTTTGTTCAAGAAAGTGTTTAGGTTAAAACAAATTAAACAGGAGCTGTTTCATGATTGTGTGCACATGTTAACAGTATTGTTGAGGTAAAAATAGTACCTGGAAACTGAATTCACAGTAGCAGGAATAAGACTCAAGAGAGAATCCTGTGGAGTGTTTACCTTGTTGTTTATGTGTACATTCCTTACTACAAACACCTTGTAGTACCTCTAGAAATGTTAGATTAGGAATGTAGTTTGCTTCTTTAAACAAATGCATACTGTACTTCTAGTATTTTGGTTGTAGATATTCCAGTATCTCTTGGAATACATCATTGGAATTAACTTACCCTTGCAAGCGCTTTAGCATAGACTGGCTACATCTGAGTACCGTTCCTGCCTTTTGGAACTCTGGGCCCACGTGTATGTGACTAAACCTTCAGCTGACCCATGGTATACCCAGTCATTGAGCTCTCGAGTGGTGCGTGTTCTTTAGCCCTGCCAGGGGGAGTGTGAAAGGAGACTCAGGAAGGGCAGAGGTGGTTTGAGACGGTGAAGGAATGAGGTATACAGATAAAAGTCTGCATATAACCTTTTAGGAATTAGCTTTACAGTGGTTTCTAGTATGTGTGTAAGATGCTAAGGGAAGCCAGATAAAATTATGTGGGAAAGTGTCTTATGGCATTTAATACTAAAATAGTTCTCTTCTAATCCTGCCTGTGCTTGTTATGAAATGAGCGTTAAGTTTGCACACGACTTAGTCGCATATAATGACTTAGGGGTTCTCTCTTAGAGAACAGTTCACTGTGGATAAGAAACAAAACTTACTGGTGTCCTTCAATGCTGCTGTTTGTTGAAGTATAATCCCGAATTTCACTTACTTGTCAAGAAACTACAAGTATTTTTGTTTAAACTTTATAATGTCTGCTTACCTTTTGAACCCATAATTTAGTCGTATTTTAAACTTCAATACATGTGTGAAGTGAAAGTTAAAATACAAATGCTTTCAGAGTGCAACACCTTGACTGTCAGACTCTCATCAGTGTGGCAGATCTTCTGAACTTTTCTGGTATTCTTATGCGAATGTGCTCATCCCAAAGCCAGTGATTTAAAAAGGTTAAAAAGCCTGAGTTGTAGCAAGTAAGCGTGCGTGTCCTGGCTTTTCTTCTGACAGCAATCAGAAACGGAGACTGTGCACCTGTTCATCCCAGCCCTATCAGTCGGCGCCATTATCGGCAAGCAGGGCCAGCACATCAAACAGCTTTCTCGCTTTGCAGGAGCTTCAATTAAGGTACTGTTCTGCCAACTGTGGCTCTCCTGGTTCTTTGATGAAATTACAGAAAGATGAATCTTCTTTCCACTTTATAACAGAGAATCCCAAACAACAGTGGCTTAAACGAAGCGAATTAACTTCTCTTCCCAGGAAAATCAGTCTGGAGGTAAGCAGTCCAGGGCTGCATGGTGGCTCTGCCCCACAAAGGCCTTGGACCCTTCATGGTTCCGGATGACACCATTCAGTGCTCTGAGAGTCAAATCTGCTGTCCGTCAGTAGGAGAGAAAGAACAACAAAGCCCTTTTTTACCTGGGGAAGTTTGCTTAGCTACCTTGAGAAAGTCTACGGCAACCCCAGCATTAAGGTACTGGCCCAAACTGGACAAAGCTGAAGAGGCAGAGAAGCCTAGGCTGTTCAGCCCGGCGGACACGGAGTGGCTACTATAGACCGTGGCACTCACAGCAGAGGACAACCAGTGGCACCTGCAGCCACAGGTCGTTCACTGTGCGCTCTGAACGTTGTGTATTTCCATGTGCTGGGTAATATTAAATATCATTTTTTGTTTTAGGGAAATAGAGGCTTGATATAAAAAAGCTATCAGGGGTTTTATGTTTTATAAAGGTTTTTTAAGATTAAAAAAGACGGGCTGGGATTTAGCTCAGCGGCACAGTGCCTGCCTGGCAAGTACAAGGTCATGAGTTTGATTCCCGGTACCGGAGAAAAACAAAAAAAAAAACAAGATTAAAAAAGACAATATATTTACCATACAACCCATAAATCCTGCTCCTGAATATTTACCCAAAACATAGATACACATGGCAACACACACACGGACGCCTATAAAGTCTTTATTACAACTCCACAAATAAAAACCAAATGTCCAACTAGTGAATGGGTAAAGTGTCTACACTGAGCACTAGAAAGGCACCAACTATTGCTGATAAAATAATCTGGAGGAGATCTCATGCACTGTGCTGAGGGCAAGAAGGCCACACGCTATGATTCCATTTATGTGTAATTCTGGAAAAGGCAGGGCTATAGGGAGGATAAATTGGTGGTTGCTGGGAAGGGGAAGAAAGCGGAGAGCGTGACAAGGCATCCAGAGGAGAATGAATGGTGAGCGATGGAGTCAGTCTGTATTTTGACTGCTGAAGTTACAACATGAGTATGCATCTATCTATCCCTAGAGCTGGACACCAAAAGTGACTTTTGCTGTATGCACATTACATAACTAAAGTCAAAACACAGAAAAATAGCCCTTACATACATTCTTGCAGTAAGAGATAACAAAATCCAGGAACAGGAAACCTAGCCAAAACAAGTGGATAAAGGGAAAAAAAGACACAGTAAAAGGTCAAATTAAGACCTGACTTTACTGTTCTGCTAGTTGCATGATTGAATTTAAAAAAAAAAAAAAACAAAAAAAAAACCTTTGAGGCTGGGAGAGGAGGTGCAGGCCTTCAGTCCCAGCACTCTGGGAAACTGAGGATCAAAACTGTGTGCCCAGCCTGTACTACATACACAAGGTAAAATCTTTGAGGTGTATTCATTTAAAAAAAAAAAAAAAAAAAATCCTGGTAGATCCATTTTGGAGCAACTACAGCAGACAGTTTGTGAATAAGAATTGGTTATTAAAGGCTTGGTTTTTTAAAAAAAGGCTTGGTTTTCTTCTGGCAAAGTCAGTCTGTCAGTGTCTGGTGTGTGTCCCCCCTCGCCCACCTCTGCAGCACTAGTGATTGGACCCAAGGCCTTCACACTAAGCTACATCCCTAGCACTTCTAAATTTTGAGGCAGGATCTCTAAATCAGTCACACTAGGCTTGAACTTGGGATCCTCCAGCTTCAGCCTCCCAGAGTGCCAGGATTACAGATTTACAGATTCAAAATGAGTCAGTACAATCCATAAAGGAACTTTCCTCTAAGGGACAGAAATGTTAGCTTTACTGATGCAGAGAGTAGGCATGACTTCATTAAAAAGACATTAATATAAACATGTATGAGAAAAGGTCTAGAAAACTATCGAATAAGCCTCAGTGGCAGAATTTAGGGTAACTTGTGTTTTTGCTGTGTGTGTGTGTGTGTGTGTGTGCGCGCGCGCGCACTTTCTGCTTGTAAATAACTTTTTTTTGTTTGTTTGTTTCACGTAAGAATTATTTTGGTTTTTACACAGCAGCTGTTTAGTAATCTCTTTTCCTTTATGATGACTCCTAGTTGGGAGGAATCCTCCCCAAATCCTTCCTGTGACTGTAAGAAGGCCGGTTTCTGCCTGTGTCTTTGTATGTGTGTGGTTTCATAAAAACAGCGAAGTCTGCATTTACCTTTCTCCTGCTTAGATTAGTTTATTTCATGTTATTCCAGTGAGCATACTTAGGGTATGATTTACTAGTGGTCTTAGACTTATACTATGTATGTACATAGGTTAAGAAATCAAGTCTTCTTTGTAAATGCTGTAGAAGGATCTCAGCAACCTAGACAGTATTTTTAAAAAGCAGTGCCCTTTCTTCTGAAAGTTAGAAAAAGCCATAGAATGAGCAGTCTCAACAGGCTGCAGTCTCCAGGCTTCTTCGAGAAGCCAGGTGGTTCTGACGCAGGTGGGCTGTACAGCGCATTTGTGCAGTGATTCAAAGCGTGCGCAACCGAAACAGCAGTGCCCATCTGGTGCAGTTACTGTCTGATCAAAGGCCAGGCCACTCTACTGCAGCCTGCATTTCAGTCAGTCACGTGCAGGTGTCAGGCTGGTTGGCCTAAGGTTTCTGTCAATGACACCTGGAAGTACTATAATCTGTTGGTGATGGGTCTGTTACAGATTGCTCCAGCTGAAGCGCCAGATGCTAAAGTGAGGATGGTGATCATCACTGGGCCACCAGAGGCTCAGTTCAAGGTATGTGCACAGCTAACAGATGATGGGGCGAATGACAGTGCCTTTGCAGAACAGGTATATTTAAAATAGTAGACAGAATCTGAAAATTCATGTCTAAGATCAAAGAAGAACTACACCCAAACATCAATTATTGCATGTTTCTCCTTGGTGCTTTTACCCTTATAGTTGCAATTACTGTCTTGCAACTGCTACATGCTTTATGATGAGACATTCAGTTATTTCCATGTATCCTCAAAGTACCATATTATAGTCATTTACAACTTAAGAGCCAAGTGTGGTAGCACATGCCTGTAATCACAGCACTCACGAGGCTGAGGCAGGACTGTTGTGAGTTCGAGACCAGCCTGGGCTACAAAGTGAGCTCAAGGTTAGCCTGAACTGCATAGCAAGACCCTGTCTCAAAAAGACCAAAAAAAACCCCAAACAAACCACTTAAGAATGGGGTCTGGTGGCGTACACCTATAATCCCAGCACTGGGAGGTGGAGGCAGGAGGATCACCTTGAGTTCAGGGCCAGCCTGAACTCTATATAGTTGAAACCCTCTCTCAAAACCAAAAAAAAAAGGTAACAGTTAAGCCATAATAGTTAAATTACTTACGTGATCAGTGACAATTCAAAATGAGTATTTTAACAACCTAAGGACTAGCGAACCTCCTAACCTACATTTTCTCTCATAAATTTACAATCTTCTGTTTTAGATAGCAGTAGACATCCCTAGTGTTCTCTGACGGTGTGAATAGCTATACCTTTGGCCTGGGACATTAAGGGTGGATGGAATATAGTATAGCAAGTTAAATTTTGTCTTTTCTCTAATCCCCTAAAATGAGCTTAGCATTTCTACACCGATAACGTTTTTATGGATTGCTCTGGCAGCTTGTCAGATTAGACCTGCTTCTGTTGCCTGTGGTGTAATCACGGCAAGTTAATGAGTGTACCTAACAGAAAGTGTTATTTATATGTAACACCTGTCATGTATACAGTAGCGGATGGGATGTTGGTTAATAAGTATGCTATGTGTTAACTTGATTTTGTAGCCTCTTTATTTACAGCGGAAATCACCTGGCTAAGAAACTTCTTTATGCAGAATATTCCTCTCACCACGTTTCTAACTGGCACTTTAGACATCAGCATTGCTCTTTGTGAGCCCGGCACAGCTGACTGCGTAGTTCTTTTTTTTTTTTTTTGAGATCTGGCTGTGTTGCCTAGGCAGGTGGTGAACTCATAATGCTTCCACCTCAGCCTGAGTACCTGGGATTATAGGCATGTGCCACAGTGTCTTGCTTTCAGTCTCTTTTGCTCAAAAACAATGCAATTTATTTCTCATACCAGATGAGTTTTTATTTTTCAAGACTATAGTTATAGATGGCCATTTGCCCACGAAAGAATGTGTTTTAGCTAGACTAATAATTGCCTTTAGCTGTTTTCATCAGAAGAAGACGGCTTATCTTTCATTAATCATTGCTACCTCATGTGTGGGGCATGCAGTTACTGTCACTTTCCAGGGCTCCTTAACTTCTCTCCTATGATCTCTAATGCTGCCTTCAGCATTCCAGTTAGATGTAGTTCAACTTTTGTTTCAAACATGAACGGCACTGACAGATTGTATTTTCACCTGCAGGCTCAGGGAAGAATTTATGGAAAAATTAAAGAAGAAAATTTCGTTAGTCCTAAAGAAGAAGTGAAACTTGAAGCTCATATCAGAGTGCCATCCTTTGCTGCTGGCAGAGTTATTGGAAAAGGAGGCAAAACGGCAAGTACTTCAGCAAAACCTGTGCAGTGGTATAAAAGGGAAAGCGTTGAAAGGTACTTAGGAGTTCCAAGTCCCTGAATTTTGGCTAATTTATAAAAAAGCAAGACCATCTTGACCAAGGTTTGGAGAAAACTGTCTATTACTCAAGTGCTGGCGGCAGCTACTAGTGACTTTCAGGTGACTCTGACAGAAGTGTCTTGCATTTGTAAAGGGCATTCAGCATCATTCTGTTGTTATAACTGAAGCTTTTCACTTTCATTATACAAACACTACAGGACATAAATGAACTGAAAATTTTAAAATTTCGTCTATGACTTTGTTGGAAAAAAGCAAATGGCTTCCAGGCTTCTAACAACATGTACGTCATTTCCAAAGCTACTTAGTTTTAAAGTCACTAAGCATGCACTTTGGAATTACATTACCAGGATTTGAATCTGGTTTTGCCATTTACTTGTGTAAATGGACAAATCACTTTTTTTTTAGATGAGTCTTAGTTCTAATTATCTTAAAATGGGACAGTGTTATAAAGCTCAGAATGATTAATGACTAGTATGAAACTTACAAAGCCACGGCTCAGAGTCCAGTACATACTGAGCACTCAGGAAATGGCAGTATTTTAAAATGCTGCTTAACATGATCTGTGTTTCTCTTTCAGGTGAATGAACTCCAGAATCTGTCAAGTGCTGAAGTTGTTGTCCCTCGTGACCAGACACCTGATGAGAATGACCAAGTGGTTGTCAAAATAACTGGTCACTTCTATGCTTGCCAGGCAAGTGGGCACTAAAATAAGCTGCCTCTCTCAAGTAGAAGCAATTCTCACAAAGGTCTGCCACCTCAAGAAAATATTTAAGGGTTGATGTTCAACAGGTTTGTAAGAGATGGGGTCTCAGTCTGCCGCTCCTGGCCTGAACTCTGGCCTCACAGACTGATCATCCTGCCTCAGCCACCCATGTACCTGAGACTATAACCCTGTGCCAATGTGCCCAGCTGATGCTTAACACTTTCAGTCTCCCTTTTAGCAGGTGATTTCAGAGATTGCTAGCAACTGATTATCTACTATTCACATGGATTTCTATTTGAAGTTTTTAAAATGAAAACAGTAACTTTAGTAACTTCTGATTAGGTAGATTTTTCTGTCTTTTTCAGGTTGCCCAGAGAAAAATTCAGGAAATTCTGACTCAGGTAAAGCAGCACCAACAGCAGAAGGCTCTGCAAAGTGGACCACCTCAGTCAAGGCGGAAGTAAAGGCTCAGGAAAAGCCCACCACAGAGGCAGATGCCAAACCAAAGACAGATTGCTTAACCAACAGACGGACTTTGACCCCATCCAGAATCACATGCACAAGTGTTACCTAGCCAGTTGTTTCTGAGGACCAGGCAACTTTTGAACTCCTGTCTCTGTGAGAATGTATACTTTATGCTCTCTGAAATGTTTGACACCCAGCTTTAAAAAGAAAAAGAAAAGAAAAATAAGGGGGAGAGAGAGAAAGAAGAGCTCTGCACTTCCCTTTGCTGTAGTCTCACAGTATGATGAATATTCTAATTTTTCTTAGTATTCCCCCATAGTGCCAGAAATTGGCTTAAATGGTGCATTCACTAAAGTCATCAAATAAAAAGATTGCTCCTACATCCAATTGTTAAAATTGGATCAGAATAGAATTATCACAGGAACTTGACATGTTAAGCCATTAGCGTAGAAAAACTGTTGTTTTATTTTTAATCTAACACTAACACAACCTAAGGGAAGTGCTGAATGGTGTTGGCAGGGGTATTAAATGTGCATTTTTACTCAACTACCTCAGGTATTCAGTAATACAGTGAAAAGCAAAATTCTTTTTTTGAAAATTTTATATACTTTATAAAGATAAAAGTCCAACTGTTTTTTAAAAAATAAATGTAAAATTTAACAGCTGTCAGCTAACAGGCAAATAAGTGAAAAAGAAATTTTACTTCTGGCTGGTGACAGTAAAGCTGGAAAATTTCAGGTTTTTTGAGGCTTCTGACACAGTTATTAGTTGAAAATCCAGTAAATGTTCAAAGATATAGAGCAGTGCCTATATTTGGAGAGCAGCAATGCCACTTATTACTTTGTATAGTTGAAATGTTTTTGGTGGTACTAACAGCAAAGTGGTGGCGGCAGGAGGTTTTGGAACATCTAGTTTAAATGGCTTTAGGAGACTTCAGGTTTTTTGATTAGCTATACGATTGAATACGTAAATGCTTTGTGCTTTGACTATCTACCTGAAGAAGTGTATTGATAGAGATGTAGGACTTCAAACAGACAAAAAAGCAAGCTTCAACTTGTCTTACAGGACACTTAGTTTGCCAGTAACCTTCAGACCAATTGGTCTGCACTTGAGCAAACGCCAAAACAATTGGTTTGTGAAAAGTAACAGAATAGTGACAGTGTTTAAAGTAACAAAAGGCTACATTTCTTTGTGCCTGGCACTGTAATGAGCATTGCTAATCTATTTTTAAGCAATGGACGATTTTTCTTAAGTCCACATAAAATAGTACATAGAATATAGCAGGATTTCCGTACACCCTGTGCCCAGTTATCTGAAAGTAAGTCAGAAGGTGGAGGACTCAACGAAAATGTTTTGGGAATGCAATTTCAGTGACTGAAAACACCTATCTTTGAAACTGAACTCATTTACCCATTCCTTAACTTGATGGCAAAGCCCAGGATTGTACAGTTGTGTGGATGGTCTTGGAAGCTACGCTGCTCTCTGAATTGTTTTTCTGTTCTTTTCCTTCATAAGATGATCACAGTTGTCTCATTACACTGATCTGAAGGGCATTATATAACCCTTTAAAACACACTGCCTCATTTGTATTTCAAGATCAATTTCTACATAGACTAGTTAAGGTTCATGCAGACTCAGTTTTTCTGAAGATCAGCAATATCAATTAGACATTTTGAAAGTCGTTTTCCTAAATATTTTCAGAAAACCAGTTTTATTTTGTAGTTTTAGCCGAAAAGTGCCCTTTTTTGTCACTGAATTTACCTAACGTAATTTTTTTTTTCATACAATGAATTTAAATTGCTGAAAAATCATGAACTGGCTTTCTTGTTGGAATTCAGATGATATGTGCTTAATTAAGGCCAGAGCTCTTCCTCAAATTTTGATTTTTCTAATACCTGATTTAAAAAAAAAATACAGGTAGGTGCTGCATTTATATCTGCTCGTATAAATTCTGCCATATTTTTCACTTCTATCCTTTTAGTGTGGCAAATCATGTTTTCCTTTCACTTTAGCATTGGTAATTTGGAGTATCTGGTACTAGCTAAGAAATACTTCTGTAATTGGGTCTTGTACTTACCATATATGGATCATTCCTCATCTATAAAGTGCCCCAAGTGCAGCTTCATTTTCCAGATACCCTGATGCAGAATAAAATTTTTCATCATTAGTTACAGCTTGTTGTGTAGTATGTTTTCAAATGAATGTGAATGTCTGAATGTGGTATACAAACAGATTTTTAAGAATACTATGTCAGTCTCAAACTCTGCACAACTACTTACTGTTAAATTATTTTCTCTAGCCTATGGTACCTTAATGTGGACCTTCCTTATACTGTTCATATGAACCAGGCACTGTAGATTCCAAAAATTTCCCTAATACTTTCTTTCATCTGGAATATTCTGAAAGGGAACAGAAGTCCTATCCCAGAATAATATCCTGGCATCTATTACTACCCTCTATCCCCTCAAAGTAACAGCATCAGCAGACAGTGCTGTCTTTTGTTAAGATTTTTGGCCATTCTGTTTGTAGTGAGTACTTGCATATGAGCAAAAAAACATCTAAGCAGAGAGCTCAAGTTAGGCACAGGTACCAATACTAGCTCCAGGAAAGCCTGCTGGCATCTCAGGATAAACAGATGGCATGTTAAGGTTTTGGATGGAATGTACTTATTCTTGATGCAAGTGTTAGCTCATTTATCTATCTCTGCGAGTCAGTCGTCGAGAACACCCATGAGGCAGACAAGGCTTGCTCTCCTGACAACCTAACTAAGAAGGTTAGGCTTCAAGGAGCTGTATTTCCCAAGAAGTGACTGAATCCAAATCTAAAATGACTGAAACAGTTCATCTAGTTTTATTCACATTTGAACTCCACTGGAGTCACCAAGGAAGTGTCCTCTTCTTCTAGTCCAAGAATGAAGTCTTCAGGTAATGTCTCTGGCGGTATCTGAGATAACTGGTCATCATAAGAACGTAGGGTCCATAATTTCTCTAATTCATACGTTTCTCTGGTTTCTGGATGCATTAAATGAATCACCATGCTGCCTATCAGAGATAAAAAATTACAATGAAGTAATGTATTTGCTTTTATTCTTGTGTTCTTACAACTCCGTGTCTAAGTCTAGGAGCTAGAACAGTTGTCATCAGAGGGCAAACTGTGGACTTCATCCTAGCAAAAATTACCACAGCAGTGATGCTGTGTCTTTCTCAGGGTACCCACTGTATCAGAGGTGGACGGTATCAAAATGTGTCATCACTGACAAAGTTAACTTTTATCCACTGACTAACAGTGCTGTCAGTTTTAGTTTTCTCTTGGGAGAAAGTGCTCCATGCACATCCCATTTCTGCAAATCTTACGAGCAAAGAAAGTAGTGTGGTTTTGGGTTTTCTTTCAAAGCTGTTTATTACTGAAGAGAGAAAAATAATTGTTTCCAAAACAAAGGCAGCTCTGCTTAGAGCTCTGGTTGTCAGTCAAGGCAATATGAGCAATTAACTAGGGAACCTGTCACAGCTTGGGCGGATACTGCTAAACATCGTATGAAACACTTGGCCCAAAATGTTCACAGTGAGAAAACTGAAAAACGCCTGACTTAAGCCTAGGCATCGCTCATAAAAGATGTTCTAGGCCCTGTGCTGCTCCAGGCAACCTGGGGCTCAAGGAACCAGCGTCAAAACAAAACCAGTGCAAAACTGATGGTAGTGGCTACAGCTGCAAGTAACACTGTTTTTGTCTGTAACTCCCAAAAATTTCTGTGTCCTCTCTCAGTATCCATGAAGGACAATTTCTTAGCATGCAAGTAGGACAAAACCTTAGACCTGAGCAACGTCCTCAGCTCTTTTTAAGCCAGTCTCTAAGCTGCCCAGGCTGCACTAAAGTCCCCCGAGAGCCTTATGCAGTCACAGGGGGGGATTTGGGGGTGTGGCTGGATTACAGGTGCTCAGAGCTGACCTGCTGTTAAGAGGCAGGTCTCTGGGGGCCCAGTCAGCAGGGTTTGTCCGTGGGGCTCTATGCTTGTCACCTCTGTGAACAGCTATTCCTCTGCCCTGCCTGTCTGCCATGCTGCCCTGAAGCCAGCCAACTCCAGGCTGAAACCTCTACAACCTGGGCCAAAACTTCTCTTGAAGTTGCAGGTGTTGGGTGTTTTGTCCCAGAGATGACAGTGAGAAGTGGCTTTCTCCAAAAATGAGTCACTGTGTCTAGAATACTTAGGATTAAAGCCACCTAAGTTATAATGAAGTAAAACTTGTGTTACTTGACACAGATTTCAAAAAGGCTTACACAGAAATACACTCAGTGATTTGATCTGAATTGCTTTGTAGCTGAAAGTAATTAGTTTAGTATCTATATTTATCTATGCAAATGCCAAAGCAACTTACCAAAATCCACACAGAGCCAGTCATCAGTGTCTTTTCCTTCAATCTTAACATGAGGCTCACTTTTACATTTCAGGTGTTTATACTGAAAAAAGCCAGACCACAGATTAAACGCAGGAGGAAATCTGCCCTTATTGAGGATCTAGTGGCATTTTTCTTGGCCTGAGCTTACTCAGAGCTAGTCTGCCATGTGGTTAATAAGTTAAGAAAAATATTTACCCCTAAATCCTATCTTCTTCCACTCTTCTCTTCTCAACCTTCTTGCCCAGAATCTTCTGAGAAGGCTACTCATTCACCACGGTGCCTCTGAGGCACACAGGCCTAAGCACATGCATTATTTGGCCCTCGCCTACATCATCTTTGTGCCCATCCAGCTTCCCTTCACTCTCAGGAAAGGCAGACACCACTGTCCTGTTTTAAGGCTGGATCTTCTCAGTGCTACTGATTTCATCTTGGAATATGTTCATGTGACTTCATTCCATGTGACTATTTCTAAGACAGCTGTGAGTGGTTTCAGTTCTTTGCTTTTGTTAAACACCAGTGGATATGCTAACAGCAGACAAGACAATTTAAGCTGGGGATATAGCTCAGCAGCATAACACCTGCCTGGCAAGTACAAGGTCCTGAGTTCATTTCCCAGTGCCAAAAACTGTTACAAGAGACACAAAAGAGTCACCTTAACCAAGAAGATACCAATTATACATAATACCAAAGATCACCTAAATATATGAAGCACACTGACAACTAAAGAGGGAAAGAGTAGTAGCACAGTAAAACTTCTGTTTATCATGAATCATGGAGTACTGAACAATCAGAGAAAAAAGGAAAGGTGACTTTTCTCATCCCGGTTTTTTGAGTGTCTCGCTCTATCTAATTCAGCTGGCCCATAACTCACAGCAATCCTCCTGCCTCAGCCTCCCAGGTGCTGGGATAACAGGCATGTGCCACCACATCCAGGGAAATGGATGACTTGAACAATACTATAGTGACCAACTGGCCCCAAAAGCCATTAACAGCTCTCCACCCACCAGAAGAAGAATACACTTTTTTAAAAGTCAAGGGGACAAACAATGTTCTCTAGGATAATCATTTATTAGGCTAAAAGGAAAAATTTTAAGAATCATCAAATTATACAAAATATTTCCTGATCACAATGGAATAAAATGAAACAAGAAAAACGAAAAAAATCTACATCAGTGAACAATACACACTTAACCAACAGGTCAAAAAAAATCACCTAAGTAGGAAATACAACACAAGTGAAAATTACAGTCTAAAGAACTAGGGGAAAAACATCAAAATCTAGCAAAGGAAAGGAACCAAGAACTTAGGGAAAAAAAAAAGTAAAACCAAGATTTGGTTCTTCAAAAAGAGATCAATAAAATTATTAAATCTTTAGTTAGATTGAGTTAAAAAAAAAAAAAACAAAACCTAAAATCAGAAATGGGAGATGATATTACTACCAATTTAAGAGTACTATGGTGGCGCACACCTGAAGTCTCATCAGCTGGGAGGCTGGGGTAGGAGGATCACCATGAGTTGAAGGCCAACCTGGGCTACACAGTGAGTTAAAGGCCAGCCTGAACTGCATAGCAAGGCCCTCAGAAAACAAAGAAACCACTGCAGAGACCTATAACTAGTAGATAACTGAAACAATTACTGCAATTTCCTAACACAAATTGGGTCAGACAGTTTCACTGTGAATTAGGAAAAATACTTTCTCAAACTTACAATAATTACATAGAGAACATTTCCCAATTCTATGAGATCAACTTCTGACTGATAAGGAAGCTGGACAAATACACTACAAGAAAAAAAAAAACTAGGCAGGTGTGGTAGCACATGGATGTAGCTCTGTGTGAGGGCCCTGTGTTTATTCCTAAGTACTTCTTCCCCACCTCAAATCAATCTCTGGTGAATATATTGTAATCAACTGTTGTAGTCAGAGTCTGCAAGGGAAATGATTTAATACACACCACATAATGTATAGGACTATTTTATATTAGTCACCCACAAAGTCAAAAGAGTTCAGGAAATCTATCCATATACTAGAGACCCAAAGAATCCAGCTGAGGGCCTGACCTGGAAATGTTCTGCATGAGTCCAGCTGAAAACCTAGAACCCATGACAATGTCTCATCATGGATCTCCACTGGGAAGGCCCAAAGATCAGTGATAGAAGCTAGAAAGTCTGTGCCAGCGGGATGAAGGATCTGTGCCAGCAGGCTGAGAGGTCTGCATTGGAGCCAGGAAGCAATGCTCAAAGTAAGAGCGTTTCCCTGAAAAGTACCACAGCCATCCTTAGCAACAACAAGGTCCCGAGATCCTCCAACAATGACAGCTGAGTTCCTATCAGAAAAGCCAGCGTGACAAGCTTCTCGAAGACATAGAACAGTGCACTATCTTCCCCTCCAGAGCCAAGGAGTGATACTCAAAGTAAGGACCAGAGCTCCCCTAAAGTGAACTGCAGCCATTCTCAGTGACAATGAGGTCCTGAATGCCTCTGATGGTGAGAACAAGCGAGTTCACATCAGGAAAGCCAGCAAAAAAACAAGATCCTTCAAGAGAATGAACAGCACCATCTCTTCCCCTCCAGTTCTTTTTATTTTGTCCTCCACTGGGCCCTGCACACTGAGCACCACAGTTCAGCTGGGTGTTACAAGCTGACCACCAGTTGTCAACCCATCACATCAACAAAATACTAGCAAAGGAAACTTAGCAACATATTAAAATAGCCAGGCATTTGTGGCTTACATCTGTATCTTATCTAAGGCATCTGTATCTTATACTTGGGACTCTAAGGCAAGAAAATCACAGATTTGAGGCCAGACTGGGCTGTTTCAAAATAAAATAAAAAGGCTGGAATATCTGGCTCAGTGGTGGAATGTTTGTCTAGTATGACAGGTCCTAGGTTCAATCCCTAGTACTGGAAAAGAACAATTATGCACCATGACCAGTGAGATTCCTGGAATGTACACACTTCAACATATGAAAATCAAGGTAATACATTAACAGAATAAACAAAATGCACATGATCATTGATGTATTTGACTATATTCAACACCCTTTCAAGATAAAATCATTCAACAAACTAGACAGAAAAGGAAACTACCTCAATGTAATGAAGGCCATGTATGAACGGCATACAGCATACTCTAGCACACTCAGTGATGAAAGACTGAAGCTTTTGCTCTGAGACCAGGACCAAAAGATGGCCACTTTCACTACTTCTGGGCAACACAGCATTGAAAAGATGTAGCTGCAGCAATTGCACAAGAGAAAGAAGAGAAACTATCTCTTTGCAAAGATGACCTCATGTAGAAAACTGTGAAGATGCCACAAAAAGCGTGGTTAGGACTAATAAATTTGGCAAGGCTGCAGGATATAATCAACACACAAGCATAAGTTGAACTGCTATACACTAATAAGCAATCTGAAAATTGAATTAAAATAATTCCATTTACAGTAGTATCAAAAAGAATAAAATACTTAGTAAAGGAGACAGAGACTTATATGGTAAGAACTACGAAACAGCTGAGAGAAACAAATGGCAAAATATCCTGTATTCATGGATCAAGAGACTTAATATTAAGATGTCAATACTATCCAAAGCAACCCCATAGATCAATTCTATCCCTATGAAAATGCAAAATATATTTTTTTAAGAAAAAAATCCATCCTAAAATTTGCATAGACGCTCAAAAGTATCCTGAATAGCTAAAATAATCCTGAAAAAGAAAAAAAAAGTTAGCAGTGTTAACATTTCCTGGTTTTAAATCTTATACTGGGGCTGGAGGTGTAGCTTAGTGGTAGAGTGCCTAACACATCAAGCTCTCAGTTCAATGCTCACCAGCAAAACAACAGCAACGAAAACTTAGAGAACAACCCAAAAACCTAGTACGAAGCTACAGTAATCAAAGCAGTATAGTTCTGTCATAAAAAGACACATAAGCCAATGGAATAGGGAGTCTGGAAATAAACTTGCAGATTACGGTTAAATGATTTTCAACAGGGGTGCCAAGACCACTCAGCAGGGGAAGGCCAGTCTTTTCAACAAACAGTGCTGGGGAAGCTGGATATCCACAGAGAAAGACTTTGACTACCTATGAAAACTAATTTAAAATGGATTAAATACCTAATCATCAGACCTAAAACCATAAAACTCTTAGAAGAAAACAAGGAAAAGCTTCATGACATGATTTGGGCAATGATTTTCTTGGATATGTTATCAAAGGCACAGGCAACAAAAGACAAAGCTGGAATCATCCAAATTAAATACTTTTGTTCATCAAAGGATGCTACCAATGGAGTAAGATAAACGATTAATTAAAAAAAGCTCCTACAACTCAACAACAAATATACCTGTTTAAAAATGAGACAGTGACTATAAATAATTTTTCCAAAGAACATATACAAATGGCCAATAAACAAATAAAAAATATACCCAACATCACTAATCATTACGGGACTGCAAATGAAAACTAACAATGAAAGGATGGCATTATAAAAATAAAAACTCGAACAGGCATGGTAGTGCACACCTACAATCCCATCACCTGGGAGCTAGAAGCAGGAAGATGGCAGGTTCTACCCCAAACTAAATAATTGAGCAAAACACTGTCTCAAACTAAAATTTTAAAAAGGGGTGGAGGGTGCTGGAGGTGTGGCTGAGTGCTCCCTGGGTTCAATCCCCAGTAACACACACACAACTAGTGGGATTTTAAATTCGTGTAGCCATTATGAGAGAGGGATAATGGCTCAAAAAATTAAAGATAGAATCAGCACATCATATATCAATTCCACTTCTTATGTACACCCAAAAGAATTAGAAGTTGAGACATAAACAGATATGTCCACACCTATGTTTCCAGTAGTATTATGCACAGCAACTAAAAGTTATAAGCAACTCAAATGTTCATCAATGAACAGATGGATAAACAGTGTGATATATACGGTACAAACTTGTAATATGTGGCAGATTTTTAGTTTTAAGAAACTGCCACATGCTACAACATCCATGAATCTTGAAGACAAGACACTAAGTGAAGTAGCTAGTCACAAAAGGACAAACACCATAGTCTTTTCATGAGTGATACAAAGCAAAGCAGAATGGTAGGTGCAGGGGAAGGGGAATGAGAAGTTACTGTTTCAAGAATACAGAGTTGCAAGGTGAAAGTTCCAGAGGTGGATGGTGCTAACGATGTACTTACAATGAATGAATTATACACTTACAAATCATTAAAATGGCAGGGCCTACATTATGTATGTTTTTACTACAAGTAACAAAATTTACTGACCTTACATCTCTCCCAAGGAAGAGATTTAAAATTTCATTTAAAATTTCTATAAAAGTAATTTTTAGCCCCTCATTTGTCCTCTTCCAGAAACTTTGAACACTTGCCTTCTTTTTATATCCCCAAGTCCAGCAGTCACTAGTGGGTCATCATCTTACTCCATGCTGCTGTCACATCTGCTTTCACAACTCTTCTGGATGCCCTCCTGGTTCTCTTCCATCTCTCCAACTACTTTTTTGAAATCTCCCTCTGCTGTCATGATACCAGAGCTGTCTGAGGCCTCTTATTTTACAACTTCTCCAGGCAATCTCAGCTAATCTTTTGTGTTTTGTTTTTTATTTTATTTATTTTTTGTTTGTTTTTCTTCCGGTACCAGGAATCGAACTCACGACCTTGCGCTTGCCAGGCATGTGTTTTGTTTTTTAAAACACGATCTCGTGTTACAGTTCAGGCTGACCTTGAACTCACTATGTAGCCCAGGCTGGCCTTATCCTCCTGCCTCAGACTCCTGAGGGCTAGGATTACAGGCATAGCCGGCTTCTTTGGTTCTTAAAAACCTTTCATGGGGGACGGTGGTGCTCACCCGTAATCCCAGCACTTGGGAGACTGAGGCAGGAGGATCACCACAAGTTTGAGACCAAGTTTCAAAAAACAAAGCAAAAAAGCCCAAAAATTCAACAACAACCGTAAGCCTTCTCTTAGGCCAGTTTTCAGCAGGGTTATTCCCCTGCGGAATGCTGTCAGAATAGCTGAAAGCTTCTGAATATAGATAGTTTTTTCCTCATTCTGATGCATGTTCCTGGAAAATGAACTGCTTTTTTCTTCCTCTAGTAGATCCATGAATTCAGAGAGTAAGAACTGCTATCTATATCATTTTTACTTTGCCGATAACTAAGCATGACCCTTGGAAATAGTGGACATGCTCAAAGAGAATTAAACTCTGGACCAGCACTGTCCAACAGAACATTTTACAGTCATGAAAGTGTTTTATGGCTGCTCAATACAGCAATAATCACCTGAAATGTACTGTACTAGTGGCTACCATGTCAGACAGTGTTGTTCGAGAAATCCCTTTGGTCTACACTGTCTTCTAGCTCGTCTCAGGTTATTTTTAATTTTTTTCTTTTTGGTCACAAGAGACAAGAATTAGAAATATCTTGACTCAAGAGGGCTACTTTTACCACACCTTTTTCTATCAAAGAACACAGAACATAAAACACATTCAGACAAATTCTGAAAACTCAGGCTTCCTCACATGCTGTTCTTCAATGTGAGGCACTGACATTATTCCACTCCATTAATGGCACAAAAGAGAAAAGAAAGCATCCTACCATTTTCACAATGTAGAAGGCCATGGCATGTAAGTGCCGGGTGGACGTTCCACTGCCGATCACGAAGTAATCAGTGTATCTCATTTCTGGAGGAACCTTGATCACACAAAGGTCTCTTGCATTTTCTTGCCTCAGAAGTGAAACCAGCATATCAATGTCAAACTTGGGACCGGTATTATCTGAAATGCACAAGCATTTGTTTGTGACAGATGCCCAAGGAGGAGACAGACCTGTACATACCCAGAGGTGCAGATATGTCCCAGAGGAAACGAAGAAACTACTCCTCCACCAAGCTGTGTAGATATGCTTTATAAGTGGGCAGGGCCCAGACTTCCCCAGCAGCTGAACCTCCGGGTAGTTTCTCACTGCACTGCTCAGCTTTTTTTTTTTTTTTACTGCTCAGCTTTTATGGGCACAGTCTCGGGTTACACAGAGCCACCGCATGTCCTTTGCTATCACCACACGCAAGGAGAACCACGTATCAATGACAAATGACTGTCTATGCAGTAGCAATGAGCTATACACCGAAAACACAAAAATGCTATGCAAAGAAAGAAAAATAGCACAATTTCTGGAAGAGGTGATATCCTGGTCATATTAAATTGAACCCCAGCTATAAAGTATTATAGAACTAAAATTGTGAGCTGGAAGGCTCACAAGCTCTTTTCCCAGAAAGGATCTTGCTAAATTTTCCACACTGGCCTGGAACTTGAGATCTTCTTGCCTCAGCTTCCTGAGTGCTGAGATTATAGGCATGCACCATGCCTTTCAAGTTTTTCTTATAAAGCAATTTTGGTTATTAATAACTATTATCTATGAAAATGTAATTTTCGGCCAGGCGTGGTGGTGCACGTCTGTAATGCCAGCACACACCTGTAATCCTAGCACTTGGGAGGCTGAGGCAGGAGGATCACTGCAAGCTCGGGACCAGCCTGGGCTGTGAGCTCTAGGGCAGCCTGAACTGCATAGTGAGATCCTGTCTCAAAAAAAAAAAAAAACCAAACCAGACAACACAATGAATATATAATTTTCCTTCACAGAGATTTACATATTCTGTTCTTCAGCTTGGAGTACTAGCGTCTGTAAATTTATAGCTCTCCTAAATTCTAAATCTGATTTCAAAGCACCTACTAGCAAAGCCTAGGAAAACCTGTTCCTCTCAAATTCTGTAATTTCTCAATTATGATTTGTTCACCATTTTTCAAGTTTCTAAAAACATCTGCAGCAACTAGAGAATCTCAGTAAGTCCCATGCCCTAGCGGCGCTTCTTGCACAGCCCCGGGCCGCAGTCCCTGGCTCTCCCTCGGAATCCTCACGGCCCAACACTCCGCGCCCCAGGCTCGCCGGCAGAACGGGAGGGCGGCGGGGACCGGGAGCGCAGGGCGCGGCCACCCGGGAGGCGGGGTGCGTGAGCGGGACCGCGCTTCGCGGGGCTCGGTGTCTCCGCCGTGGAAGACGAAGGCTGGCGGGTCAGCCTCCGGCGTCCGTGCCAGCTTTGGGTCTGCCGTTTCCCGAGTCGTATCGGAAACACGCGGGGCGCAGAGCCTCCCGGCTGCGCAGGGCGCCTTCGCGCCGCCCAGGCCCGCACCTGCAGCGCCGCGCTCCGCGCC